ATGAGCCAAAAAGCAGAGACAGGACCAATTGTCAAAATTTTGGTGTCGATCATTCGATTTCATCCTGGATACTACAGAAAATGGGCTAAAAGTGTTAAAAACCGGAATTCTCCTTTAATTAGTTTGCTGGCTACTAATCAAAGGCAGCTCTAAACAGGATGGTCTTTAGCTGTGATTTAAAATTATTATTTTTTTTCTGAAAGTGTTTTCCAGATTAAGGGTGCATAAAAACTCAAAGCTTTTACCTTTAGTTCCTCACTTTATAAAGAAAAGGACGGTCTGGTTGTTTCCCTATTTACTCAGATAATTTTAAATTAGCTTTATTCTCTGTTACTGAGAAACAAGAGTCTTAAGGTTTATTGTTTGTTAGTTTATTTTTTTAAATTAAGCTCTCATCAGGCCATTTCTTTGTCTAGATCAGGTTTTAAATCTATCAGTGGGTTATAACAGTTATCTGGGCTTTTATTTTGTAAGAACAAATCTCTAATATTGTCCTTTAACTGCACTTGTTTTTAAATGAAAAGGGTTGATAATAACGATTAATGATTAAGTATGTTCGAATGCTTGGAATGTGTGCTGGTTCTTTTTGGAACTACTAACGGAGTTTTAAGTTTTGATAATAGTTATATAAAAAAGTCAAATTCTCACCTTTCTAATAATAATAGTAGTTTTCATAGGAACAGAAGGATTTCCTACCAGGCTGGACATAAACTGGCTCCTCTGACGAGTACAGGCAGTCCTCCATGTTTATGTTTAGAATGTTATTCTAAGCTTGCATAACTATATCTGGTATTGGGTCTGTCCGTTCTATTAACAGTAGATCTATACATCGGTAATACAATACACAATATTTTGTGTTTTTTTTCCCCCTGTATTGGCATCGGTTCACAATCGATTCCTGCACAGATTCACTAATTCATGAGTACATTCTGTTTATTTGCTATTTTTTATTGTTTTGTTTCTATGCAGATTTTTTTGTAGAGCAGCTTCCATTTCAGGGATTAAAATAATGGGTAGGCTCATCAACCTGACAGTATCTGCATTGGTTAATTAATGATTAATCTGTCGATTATTGTTTCAATTAATCGATTAATAATTGGATATTCAAAGGTTCCCTAATTTTTTGAATTAAATTAAACCAGGTGAAACTAAAACTTTTCCACTTGAGGACTTCAGGATAGAGCATTTTGATATACGAAATTTTTTATTTATTTTTTTTTATCTTAAATGCTATATATTTTTTTTTTTACAATTTATATATAATTGCTCTAAACATTCCTTTAGCTCTGTCAGCTAAAGGAATGTTTTATATTCTCAATACTCCAGTTGATCAATTGATTATTAAATTAGTTTACGATTAATCCGATTGTTTCAACACTAATTCAGTCTTAAATAATGTTTGCAAACCTGCAGGCTCACCTTTTATAAACCTTTTCAATAGGGGTGTGAATAATAATCGTTTTGTATCGATGAATCGATGCAATAGACGACGTTCCAATGCATCGATACGTCCGCAAGAGAATCGATTCCTTTTTTTTTTTAATCCTCCGGTCTATTTTCATCCATTTGCTCCTGGATGTAATTCTGACTCCAGTGCTGCGGTGGCGCTAAACCTATTTTGCCCTCCTACCTCGCTTCCTTTAACCCTACCCTCTTTCCCCATGCACACACACACACACGCGTAAACAGTAGACAAGACAGACATGGCGGATACTTAAGTATCGAAAATAATCGTATCGTTGGGTCAGGAAATTGATACTGAATCGAATCGCCATGATGGGTGTGATTTACACCTCTACTTTTTTAGTGTTCAGCTCCTGTTCTTTTGGGATTTTAAGTTTTTATTTTTTTTAATTTATTTTCAGAAATAAATGCAGAATCCTGAATTACTGCATGCATTTAAAATCTTTATTTTTTAAATTTTATTTTTATTTACTTTTATTTATTTTTTTAATGTAAAGATAAAAAAGAAAAGAAAATTCACTAGGCAACGATTGATCGGCCTGCTGATCTTTTGGCATCGATACCTTAATCCTGGGTGATCTGCAATAAGTTTTTATTTCACAGGCTTTATGAAATATTTTTAAAGATATTTTGGGACCTTTTAACGCCTGAAAATTTCAGTTATTAAATAAAAAATCAGTGTAAGCTTTTTTTTTAAATCGCTTATCGTCCAGATCGTTTCTCCTCTTGAGATCTACAAATACATCCAATATTTGGCTCATGGAACAAAGGGATTTGTGCAGATAAAATCCAGCCAACAAATTGTAGCATCTGTTCTTAAAGATGAGTATTAGCCCATTGTTTAGTTTTTTTTTTGTGCTTCTAAAAAAAAGGACAATGCACCATACCCAGGATCTATTTTCTCTTGCTTTTGGATCATTTCAGGTTTAATAGCAGCCATGTCCAGTTTATGTTTGATTTTCTATGAGATCTGTCCGTCATTAACCCGCTGCTGCTCCAGCATCCAACAGTCACCAGCTGTCTTCTCCTTGTCTTCTGTTTTCAGTGGATTCAGTCTCAGTTGTTGTGTTTTCTGCTCCCCGTAGGTTTTATCAGCAGCGGCAGCAGTCGGAGTGTCCGTGGCGTTTGGCGCTCCCATCGGAGGAGTCCTGTTCAGTCTGGAGGAGGTGGGTGGAGGAGGTTTAGAAATGAAGCGTTCCCTCCTGCTCTTCTACTCTGTCTCATATGCAGCACGGCTCGGGAAAGAATCTTCTTTTTATTTTCCCTTCCTGCATCAGAGCACCAATTAAAGTGCCAGTGGATTTATCACCACCAGATGACACAGCAGATGGAAATTAGTTTCTTATTGTTTACTCGTCTTGTTCTTATTCTTTCCCAACCGTGTGACTCTGTACTGGAATGAGTGCACGCTGGCAGCCAATTAGGATGAAATAAAGTGGGAATAAATTATTGCTGCAATAGTTTGGAAAGTCGGGGTGTATTTTTGGCACGTCTTGGTATTAACATTTCAGTGAGAGAAAATAATTCTGATATAGAGAGGAGCGTCTTATTCATACTTTATTAATTTGGGTTGATTAATTTTATGAAAAATATTCATTGCAGTGGGTTACAGAAATATTCCTACCCTATTAATGTGTTTGCATTTTTCTCATTTAGTGCATAGTTAAAGATAAGCAGATGAAAAACTTTTACTTTATTTATTTATTTATTTTTTTTATTTTTTATTTTTTTTAACAGTGTCCTGTCTGGCAATGTGGCAATAAGAATAATTGTCTTGATGCCAAAAAGAGCCCAACAGATTTTACTTTCACAAGTGTAGCAGTACGGCAATTGCCATATTGCTCCACTTGTTTCATGCATATAAATTGCTTTATTATAAATATGCAGGGAGTTTTGAAGTTTATATGGACACTGCAATGTAAATAGAGCAGAAAAACAGAAGAAGAAGAAAAAAAAGAGAAAAGATGAAAGAAAGAAGAGATAGAAAGGAGATAGTGACAAAACATTTTCAGTCTGCTTCATCACCTGTAACGAGATGAAAAAAGAACAGCACAACCGAAAGTCTGACATGTACTCTGTGTTACCTGAAGATATGAATGTGGGGTTTCTGTATGGAAGTGAAAAACTTTTACTTTACCTTAAACAAGTGACATGCAGTCAAATGTGCCTCCTTCCTCTGACTCTTTTCTTAGGGTCTTTAAAGTCATTAAATTATTATTTTAAATTAAGTAATTATGCCTTAATTGGCATTAAAATAATAAAATGTATTTAAAAAAAAAAAGATTATAAAAGCAATTTCATCTGATATATTATATCCCAATATATTTGCGTGGCACTGCTGCCGGTTAATCGTAAAGCCGTATGTTAGGAAAAGAACCTCCAGACGGAGAAAAAAGCTAGAGAATGGGGAAATGCAAAGCCCCGTCCCTTCATCCACCTCTCTTTAGCATTAAATGGCATTAAAATTAGATATGAGAGCATTAAAAGAGCATTAAAAAGCATTAAATAACAGTTACTCATTCCTGTATAAACCCTGTTCCTGTTAAATATCTGGTTTGATAGAAATTGTAATCAGTGTAGCTGAAAGTTAAAAACCTCTACGCCTCTGATCAGCCTGGTGGTAGCAGCATCATGCTATGGAGATTTTTTTCTTCAGCAGGGACTGGGCAGGCGGTCAGCCTTGGGAAGGGAATCCTAGAAGATAATCATATAAGCGCATATGTTCCATCCAATCTTAAATATCCAGAGTCACATTCAATTGGTTTCTCATGTGGTGCAGCGGCCTAGTCAAAGTTCAGTCAATAATCTGGTGTTCTGAGATATTTCCTCTCTGATCTGCCTCAACTTCAGTTACTAAAAATAAAAGATAAGAGGAAGAGTTCAGTCTCTAGATTGATAACAGAGAATTGGAGACAGAAAAGTAGCCACATTCTGCCCTGCTTTGAGTTGTTCTATCACATAAAATCCCTATTTTTATTAGTTTTTTTGTTTATTGATTATCCCCATTAGTTACAGTTTTATACTGTAATCATTCCTTCTCAGGTCCGTACCAATGCATCATATGAATAACTTAAGCTTCATAAAAGTCTATAATAATAATAGAAATACAGAATTAAAATAAAAACATACAATGGAATGAACTTAAAAATACAACATGTTATTTTAGTCCATTAATATTTCCCATACTACAATAGGAGCCTAACTTTATATTAATACATTTCACTACCACCACTGTATTAATAAACTACAATATATAATAATGCAGATGCAATTTTCTATTACATATTAAAAACAGTGTTAGTTTTTTCCTGCTTCTATCTGTGATAAGACTACATATCATCTACATAGACAGATGTGATTGTCAAAATGAAAAGACTTAAGGGGTGTGAATACTTTAGCAGGCCACTGTATTGTAAAATTATTCTTTCTCTGAATAAAAGCTTCCTTCTCTTTACTTTCTGCTTCATTCTGACCCTCTGATCCTCAGCATGAATCTCTGTCTCTCTGACCCCCGTTAGGTGAGTTATTACTTCCCCCTGAAGACCCTCTGGCGCTCGTTCTTCGCCGCCCTGGTGGCGGCCTTCACCCTGCGCTCAATCAACCCCTTCGGAAACAGCCGCCTCGTGCTGTTTTACGTGGAGTTTCACGCCCCCTGGCACCTGGTGGAGCTGGCCCCTTTCATCCTGCTGGGGATATTCGGAGGCCTCTGGGGGGCGCTGTTCATCAAGGCCAACATCGCATGGTGCAGATTACGTAAGTGGTGTCAGCCAAACAGAACGTTAATCCTTTCTCTGTGCATGCTGACTAATTTGTCTGTCTGTGTGCGTCCGGCAGGGAAAACCACCCGGCTCGGCCACTACCCCGTCATAGAGGTGCTCGTGGTCACCGCGGCGACCGCCCTGATGGCCTTCCCAAACAGTTACACCAGGATGAGTGGAGCAGAGCTGATCTCTGAGCTTTTCAATGACTGCTCCCTGCTGGACTCCTCTCAGCTGTGTGGCTACAAGCAGGTCAGCACACGACTCCCTGCGCCAGACTGCAGAAACAATCTAAAAATGAATACAAATTTATTTAATTAAGTGTATTTACCCTCAATTTGAGTATGTAAATAAGATGATGTACCTGTGGAATGTGTATTCTAACCCTTAAAATAAGAAGATTAGATATTATGGACCTGAAATTAGAGACTCTTATCCAAAATTTATTCTAAATGTAAATCATATATTTTCTTTTGCCATTTTTCCTAACTCACCCAAATAATTCAAGATAAAATGCACTTATTTTAAGAAATATGTACTTAGAGTTAAATTTTTTGTGAAACTGTTTAGGAGGGATGTTTGTATACGAATACTCTAGACTTTTGTAAATGTTGTGCTTGGATTTTTTTTTACCCGCTCGCAGCCAGCGAACACGTCTGACACAGGCTTGGACAGCCTGGCTGACCGTCCGGCAGGAGAAGGCCTCTACACGGCCCTGTGGCAGCTGGCCCTGGCCCTGATCTTTAAGATCCTGATCACTGTGATCACCTTCGGCATGAAGGTCAGTTCAGGACACACGGCTTGAAGATAAGTGTATTTAGCTGCCTGTTAAATTGTCATTCCTCCTCTCTGAACTCACCATCTGTGGTTTCCAATGTTTTCCCCCCACGGATTCTGTGGGAGAACTAAACATGTGAAAAGACCGCAGCAACTGGCTTTGATAAAACCAGCAGCCACATTGGAACACGTGTCCCGCTTTCATCGAAGAAGGCCATTTTTCATCAGGAATAAAAGCTGGAGATTCATTTCTCATGTCCACCCAGGTTCCCTCCGGCCTCTTCATCCCCAGTATGGCTGTGGGAGCCATAGCCGGCAGGCTGCTGGGCGTGGGCATGGAGCAGCTGGCGTACTACAACCACGACTGGCTCATCTTCAGAGGATGGTGCTCCCCAGGAGCAGACTGCATCACACCAGGGCTGTACGCAATGGTCGGAGCCGCCGCTTGTTTAGGTGAGGTCTGGATCTCAGTGGATCTTTGCTGTTATTGTCACAGTTATTTTTATCTAATGTCGTCATTAAAAACAAACAAACAAACAGGAAATATGTGCTGTTAGGAAAACAAACCAAAGACAGAAAGGTGATGCTGGACGGTTTCCTCTGAGCGTCCAGAAGGAGCTTGGAGCTGAGTAGAAGCAGGCAGCTGTTTGGATGTTGGATAAGGATGTCCTGTGGAGGCTCTGCGTGGCGGCATTCTGGGAATGTGGAGGTTGAACATGACAAACGGGTTAAGATTAGGTGTTCAGTCCTTCTTGGAAATGAAAACGATAAGAACAATAGTAGCTAGGGGATGAGTATGGGTAAAAACAAACATGGAGACATTCAATAACTGCTCACATTCAGTGATAAAAGTGCACTTCTGACTTAAAAAAGAATTGAATCAATTTGAATTTCCCTCCTTTTTTAAGACTGTGTCTTTAGTAATCACTCAGAGGCCTTTTAGTAGACGTCATTCTTCCTCTCTTAGATTTATTATGCATCCCAGGGCTTTATATCTCAGAACAGGGATTTAAAATGATTGAAAGGTACAACGAAGGGGGATCCAAAGGACTCCAAATCATTCAGCTGAATAGCTAATCCCTAAATATAGAGAGAAGCCGGAGCTTCTATGTTCATCATTTGTGTGGATTGAAGTTAGCAGAGTTAATGTTCTGTACAGCTCTGATTATCTATTGGGAATATGACCCTAAATTGCGAATGTTTCATTTGTTCAGTACCAGAGACTTATTTGATGATTCCCTTTTTTCTCTGTTTTTATATACACTTCATTTGTAGAAATAATTTTTTTCCTCATGCTTAAAGGATAGATGCATGAACCATTTAAGTAAAAATTCCTTTTTTTGTACAAATTCAAGAGTCTTGGTATCTGAGTAAAAAAGGAAACCAAGCAGAAATCTCTACAGTATTCAATCAGCTCTGCTGCTGCTCGTTGTCTTTTCTTGCACAATACAAAGTACAGTTGTATTTTAGTTGTTCAAGTTATAAAGCTAAAAACTAGTGGGCATATACCGTGGAATCCGCTTATAGTGAACACGTTGGTGCAGAGCCAATTTGAACACTATCAGCAGTTGATTACTAAAATTTACCGTTATTTCACTTATTTTATGCAGAATATCATCTAAATGCCATTTGTATGGTTTTTCAATGACAAAAATGAAATGAAATGGATAGCTTCCGCATTTACTGAATTTCATTACGGTGCCATGCAAGTTTAATTACTTAATTATTATGTGCTGTGCGTCGGCTTTGCTGTGCCGTCGGTGCATTTTAAAACAAGTCTGAAAGTAAAGTTTGAAACAAATTTAATCACAGCACGGCAGTGTTGCCAACTCAGCAACTTTGTCGCTATATTTAGCGACTTTTCAGACCCCTCCAGCGACTCTTTTTCAAAAAGCGACTAGCGACAAATCTAGCGACTTTCCTGGTGTCTGCTGTGGTGCACCTACCCGTCCGAACCCCGTTCTCCCGCTTCTGCAGCACTCCCTCTGAGCGCTGCAGTCAGAGCCACAGCATGTTTACCCTCAGCTTCCAGACCGCAAATGAACCGCTCGCATGTGCAGGGATTGACGACGCACGTTGATCATGCTGAAGTCAGCTCCCTCAGTTGCTGAACCTGCCATAGAGAGCCTTGACCAACATGATGAGGACCCACTCAAGCACAGCACAGGGAAATCTAATTAGTTTGAAAAAAAAAAATAACAATATTGACCATTATTTGCTCACATTGTCATTGGTTCTTTGTTGCCTTTTTTGTTCCATTTAGATTAATGTTAATAAAATGTAAAAAATTTTATGGTTAAAAATGTTAATATTTTACCATGATTTTTAAGCTCCTTAGTGGACCACAAGGGGAAAAGAAAAAGTAAACAAAAGTTGAAAAAAAAAATATATTATGCAAATTAGGCAATGACGTCATTCAGCGACTTAAAGCACAGCCAATAGCTACTTTCCTTACTGAGGAGTTGGCAACACTGCAGCACGGTACTGTGCAGTGTGCGGACATAACTCTGATAGCCTACAGTAGGCCTATGTAAATTTTGTGTGTGAGCTCTGCTGTGTCCCCGGTACATTTTTTTTAACATGCCTGAACATAAAGTTTGAAACAACAACATAGAAGATAACTACATAGGCTACAGAAAATTAAAGCTAGCCTACCTCTGGTTTCTGTTGCAGATCTGCTGCGCCGCATTAAGAAATCACTTAATATTTATCCATGGTTCCCTGGATCAGAGTGTTATCCAACACCAAGTTCACTTCTTTTTCAAAATGATGTAAAAGGTCCAAGTTTTTGAAACCAACATGCAGGAGACATGTTGCAAACTAGATTCCTCATCTCAGCTCTGAAAGGAACAACAGTCTCCTCCTCCTCCTTCTCACTGCGCGCCGCACTGGTACCCGCACCAAAGAGCTCTTGTACCTCCAAGTTGTACACGTAATTTTTAGGGGTGTGCATTGGCACTGCCCTCACGATTCGATTCAATTACGATTCACCAGGTAACGATTCGATTTGATTCTACGATGCATTGTGATGCATCAAAATCCCATTGACTTTGTAAAATCCGAAATGTGCCCAGATATCCGCTTTCCAAGCTTTTTGGTGCGTTTTTAATTAGGCCTACCCGTCTATCGCGGTCATCTCCCTCCGCCTCAGCCATCTTGATTGTTGTTGGTATGCCCCCGGAAGTAATTGAAACCTCACAACTTGTCCATTTGAGGCCAGAAAATAAACAGTAACATAATCGATTATGGCACGTTGCCGCATCGATGCTGAATCGTGCATGCCCCGCATTGCAATGCATCGCTGAATCGATTATTTTTGACACCCCTAGTAATTTTAAAATTATTTTTGCACGTTTACATTCATAAAATGGCCAAACATGAACACTGTAAGCAGATTTCTTGATTACTATAAATAAATTATTTAAACAGTATTTGCATAGAAATGATTCTGTCCCAATCATTTTGATTTATGTAAGTGGTTGATTACTATATCCGTGACCACTATAAACGGATTCCACTGTGTTAAAATTTTTAATCTAGATTAATATCACTGTAATCTTGGAATTAATTTAGATTAAACAGCATTTTAGGATAATATTTAGAATGTTTCTTGTGATGTGAAGATCCCAAAGTTTTAAAAATGTATCATATGAAACTATAGCTCTAGAAATGAAACAGGCTAAATAAATACCATGGAGCTACATTTTCATAAAGCGTCCCACTTGACCCACATTCACCAAAGCAATCATCACGAAGCAAACACAATGTTGTGGTAATCATTCGTGGTTAAATGAAATTTAGATTACATAACATAGCCTACATGCCTTTAGGGGGTACTGAAAGAACTCCTGCATGAAACCAATTCCACATTGCAAAAGGTGCTGGAAATAATCAAAATCTAGATAAGTCATTTTTTCTTTAAATAAGTGCATTTGTTCTTGAATTGAGGAGGTAAAAGAGACATTTTGCCAATGGAACAAGATAATTTAGATTTAAAATAAGAAAACACAATTGCATTGTCTTATTTCAAGTGCATATTATCTAATTGTCTTATTTTAGGAGTAAAAGTACTCATTCAGTTGGCAAACTATTTAATTTACCCACTTAAAGTAAGGATAAATGCACTTAATTTAAGAAATTCTTACTTATTTCTAGATCATTTTTGCAGTGTTTGGTCTGGTCCATTGTGAATCTTCTTGAAAATACATTTTCCCAGAAGTAATCCTGGTGTCTTTATAGCTGTACCCAAGTCAGCAATTCATGTTCAGTGTGGTAATTTCACAGACCCCTACCTGGTTGGACGACTGATGTTGTTCTTGCCTAGATATACACCCGTGCTAAAACGTCAAGTTTAAAGTCATCATTAGTATAGCCCCAGCTCCCAACCCAACTGTGAGAATAGATTAACGGCGATATTTTTTTATCGCCAGATAAAAGTCTGCCGTTAAAGATGATGAAGGCCCATCACTACTAAAAACTGAACAAAACACGACCTCATATGTTTTTGTTTTCCTGAAGCCGCGACAGCTAGATGTGCCCTAACCTCGTCCCGCCTCCTTTTTGGTTTCAGGTGGGGTGACCAGAATGACGGTGTCACTCGTGGTCATCATGTTTGAGCTGACCGGCGGCTTGGAGTACATCGTCCCCCTCATGGCTGCGACCATGACCAGCAAATGGGTGGCGGACGCCTTTGGAAGGGAGGGAATATATGAGGTGAGGTTTCTATTAATGAAAACCTTTGATCTGCCTCCATATTGTCAGACATCTCTTTTCTCCGTTTGCTTTTCATTTTTTAAACTTTAGCTCAAACTAAACCCTCATTTCTATCTGCAGGCCCACATTAGGTTGAACGGTTACCCGTTCCTGGAGGCCAAAGAGGAGTTTCAGCACAGCAGCCTGGCCGTGGACGTGATGAGGCCGAGGAGGGGGGACCCTGCCCTGGCTGTGCTCACGCAGGACGGCATGACTGTGGGGGAAGTGGAGGTATGGACGCCTGAAAACGCGTATAACACCATCAAAAGAGTGTTGCTTCTTGTTAATTCCTTTACAAGACACTTATTCTTGATTTACAGATAATAGATATTTTATTCTGTCCTAGACCTTGGTAGAGAGCACCCACTTCAGCGGCTTCCCCGTCGTTGTCTCGCCGGAGTCCCAAAGGCTGGTGGGATTTGTGCTCAGAAGAGACCTGCTCATCTCAATAGGTCGGCATTGAAACAGTACATTTAGAGTGAATACTATAGCTGATGAATGAGACGTCATAAAAAAATATTGACATGTTTTTATCCAGATTTCAGACCTCTGTGACATTTGGAGTTTAGCTGATGTTCTGCTTTAAGGGCTTCAAACATTAGAAACATTTAATCTTGGTTGTTAGCTTGGATTAAAAGGCTAACGAGCAAATCTTCCACTTTAGAGAGGGGCTTCAGTGTCTGAAACACTTAAGTTAATGGTTAAAAATGGTCTTTTGCTCTAAAAGGAGTATTAGTTCCTTTCAAGGTTTAAAAAAACTCCATTATCTGAGGTTAGGAATGTCTGTGTTTAATCTCTAATCCTCTGTGTTTGCGTCTCCTATCAGATAACGCCAGGAAGCGACAGGACGGCATCGTCAGCGCCTCCAAAGTGGTTTTCACAGAGCACACCCCCGCCCAGCCGCCTGAAGCCCCCCCTCAGCTGCGCCTCAGAAACATAATGGATCTGAGCCCCTTCACGGTCACGGACCACACGCCCATGGATATCACCGTGGACATTTTCAGGAAACTGGGGCTTCGCCAGTGTCTGGTCACACATAATGGGTACGATATTCATGTGTGGCTTTACTGCCTCTTACTGACTGAGATAGATTCACTTTTTCTTAAGGGTTAAAAAGGCGATTTAGTGTTTTTTCTTTTCTAGGTGGGGCGGGGGGGTGTTTAGCCATCAGTACAACCCTTTAGCTCTTGACCTGGATCTGGTTTAGACACCAAACAGAATTGAAACTGCTGTATTATTTTTAAAATTCTATCAATACAAATCCGCCATGACAGAACACAGGTAAAGGCTGTGTGTTGAAGTTAAATATTGAACAATATTGTAGGTGACTGCAGACAGTACTGCAGACAGAAGGCATCTGATTGGTCAAATCTACATCCGCTCTACACTATGCGTATCTCCTGTTTGGTACCTTACCGGATTGGTTTATTTCTATGAGCAACGTAGTGGTAAACGACTCGTGAAGATGGACCAGCCAGCAGAGCGAGGTGCGCAAGAACGCTGGGACCCTTTTTCCACCTGGATGTCCCCCCGTTGTCTCACAAACTTGCTCCTTGCGTTTTTCCACTTCCTCATCGCTTCGGCGGTATCTAGACCCACAGCTAGTTCCCGATTGTCCCTCTTGCCTTGTGGCGTGGAACAACATAGCGCAGATGACGCTTCAATATTGGGCGTAAAACCAAAATATCTGCATCAAATCATATAAAAAATATATCATATTAAAAAAAAGTTATATAACTGTTTTTATATATATATATTCTTTTACTATTTTTCAAGGCTGCACTTTTAGAAAAAGGAAATTGTCCAGAGAGCTGTTCTAAATTAAATTTCTTTTTGTTTTACACTTGTTTATACAAAATGACAAATAAATCTGTCTAAGTCATATCTGCGGCACCCTGCAGCGGTTGTATAACCAGCCCTTTATGCTTTAAAAGAATTGGTTAAAAGCATATTAAATTACATGTATTGTAATGGGGTGGCCCTTTACTTATTAACCTAATCATAAATCATATTTATGTGTTAGGTCTTATGATCTGTGGCTTTATTACACATAACAAAACCCAGCTTTGTGAAATATTTTGTATTTGATTTTGTGGAGTGTTTCTATAAACTGGAATAAATTAGTTTTTTTTTTTTTTATCTCCAGGATCCACAAGGATGAGTACATGTTCATCAAACTCATTTAGATATGTTGAAGATTCAAAGTAATTAATTATTAGAGGTCTCCAAGTCATTTTAAATAATTTTATGGAGCCATCCAGAGAAATTAACCGGTTCTATTATTTAATGCCTCACAAGAGAACAAAGATTCAGTTCTTAGTTGTTTTTTAGCTACTACTTTATTATTATTAAGGTGCTTTTAACCCAACTGTAGTTGAAACTGTGTATAAAAACAACACAGGACAGGGAGAAAACAAGAAGGGCAATAAATAAATCCAGTTAAACAACAAGAATGGGGTAAAAATAAAAATATATGCAGCCAAATTCAAAGCACAAATTTTCTGAACCGCTTACAAAAAAAACAAAAAAAAACACCTTCAGATGAATTCAATCCTAAAGTTTCAAATTTATGAGAAGAAATGATCAGAATGAAAGGTGCATCTTTTTTTTCTTAACTTTTCAGCTCAGCCTAATGCTGCTGCATTAAAACATTAATAAACGAGGAGATGTCATTGTTGCAGCATTGAAACGTTTTGAAGCAGCTTTTATCAATAGCTGGATTGAAGATGTTTGACTGAGAGCAGAAACTTGGCAGCCTGCTGCCTAAGGTCAGCACTTCACCCACAGGGTCAGACCTTATCTAAAACATTCAAATGAGGCTTTCAGCATTTAGAACTGGAAGTCTTTGCACATTCGCACTGTTTCCCCGACGACCAACATGCGCAAGCGATGATGCGGCCTGTGGTTCCCCTTCGTGTCTTTCTGTCCCGGGGACATTGTGTTGGTTTTTAGGAGGGACGCCGACAGCGTGGGCTGCAGCAGGGAGATTTTTAGCTTCAAAGCCTTTAAACTGTTTTCGTGTCAAGTTTTGGTGTGAAACAGATGTTTCTTTCTCTGTTTCCTGGTTTAAGGGGATAAACAGTAAGTGTTCCTTCTTTTATAAGTAGTTTTCAATGTGAGCACACTAAGAAAATGCAGAGATGGAATCTTTTTTGTTTTGGTTGCATGTTTTGCGGAGGAGATTAAGGAAGTAGCAAACTTCAGGAGGGAAATTTAATAGATGCTAACCTTTGTAGTTTTAAGATCCATGCCTCTTTAAAGGGTTTAGTTTAAGTGTGTTAGATCAAAAGTGAATCCTGCAGTAAGTCCTGACTTTAAACCTCGTGCGTTTCCCTCCGGGGATCATTCTTCATGAATGAACAGTTTAGGGTTCAGTCAGTGGCTGAGAGCGTCGGTTCTTCCTGTCCGCTGACGGGCCGTCGACAGACATGATAACTCCTGTAGGATTCTCCTCCCTGAAACACAAGAAGGAGGTCTATAGAGCAGATCCATGTGTTGGCGTGCAGGAATTCAGTTTTTCTGACTTGGGAGGAAGAAAGTTAGAGAAGCTTAAAAATGTTATAAAGAGGCTCAAGCAAAAAGAAAGAAGTTTCTTGGATTAACTGTAGTTTAATCTAAGAAGATGAAAGCTTGATTTATGTTTAATAGATGAACTTCAGACCAGATATTTTCTTTGCAGCCAAACATTTTCAAGTCAATTTTTTTTTTTTCACACTGATTCAATTATTAACCTTAAACTTCAGTTATTTGATCAGGATTATTTCATGGTATGGGATAAAACCTGGATCATTATGATTGATTCTGGCTTAAAAATGTATATAAATGTACTCTTTAACATAATATTGTTAAAATTGTCCAAAAATTAAGAAAATGTCTATTTTAAATACAAATCCTGTCTTAAAATCTGTGGGGGTTTTTTTCCGTTATCTTATGCAGGCCAGTTAGTTATACCTCAGCCTTCACACCTAAATTAAACACAACATCTTCATCCCCGCTTTCCTCCTCTAAATAAAAAATTTATCATGGAGGAGACTCATCCACGACCTCCGACACAAAACTCTCCTCTTGCATGTTTCCTCTGTCCACAGCGTTCCTTGACAGTGTTGTTTCTAAATCACCAATTTAGTGCTAATTGGTCCCAATGGAATTTCCCATTGGGAACCTGCTAGCACTAAGTTGCTAACTGGTTAGCAAGATGCTTCTGACAAACCGGCCACAACGAAACTGTTTGTGAACCTTCCGCCACAACAATCCTGCCCTCTTGATAAACGACCAATCAGATTCACTTTATTCACTCGTGTTAAGTCGGGCACCACTCGGGAGAATTCGGAAATGCAACGTTCGGAACAGACATTTCCCTACAACTTTAAGCTTTAAAAACATTTAAATTATGGCTGCAAATGAGACGTACAAACAAAGGCGTGTGCAGTAAACTGGTTTGTGTGGAAGCTATTTGTAGTGGAAAGCTAACCCTGATCACCATTTATGAGCAGAAGCATGGTGGTGGCAGTATGACAGTGTGGGAATGCTTTTCTCCAACATTATATTTCAGCTCAATCTACCAAAGTTTAGGGTTTAAAATGGAAGAAAAGGTAAAAAGGTTCAATTGACGTTAAAGATGTTCACAAGGCAGTGATTTAGTCTGTTACAATCGCATCAGTCGCATCAGAGGTGACAGGATATTTTATTTTATTTTTTTGTTTTTTAAATATATTTATCTTAAACCTTAAACTCAAAAAAAAAAAGCCTACTGCAGGGCGTTGCGATTTCTTCCTGTTCTTTTGTACTTGTACATCCCATTTTTAGAGTCTGCTAAGAATAGTGGCCCATTTCTTTCATTTTAATGTGTTTTCCTTTAGAAGCAGACACTACTAGAACAGGGTTTCCCCGGGTCATTAAAAATCATTAAAAGTCATCAAATCATTATTTTTTAATATAAGGCCTTAATTGGCATTAAAATTCATTAAATGTTTATATCGTGGCATTTAAAGTGCTTTATAAAGAAAGATAAGAATGTGTTTATATAAAAAAAAAAAGGTAATATGGGGAAAATGCAAATTTCAAAAAAGTGGCTGGAAAAAGAGGAAATGTGCGACGTGGCTGCAGCCTGTCGACGGTATGATGATGAAGGATTTTGATATATATATATATATATATATATATATATATATATATATATATATATATATATATATATATATATATATAAGAGAGTACTTCTTGAAGGCATTAACATTTCTAAGGGCATTAAAAGAGCATTAAAAAGCATTAAATTAGAGTTACTCATTCCTGGATAAACCCTGTAGAATGATCCCATGTTCTGTAATACATGTTCAGATTTCAGCCTTTCTGTAAAGGAGCCATTTAAAAATCACCGTCTTTTTCTTGTTCTCAGGAGGCTTCTGGGAATCATCACTAAGAAGGACATCCTGAAGCACATGGCGCAGATAGCCAATAGAGATCCTGACTCCATCCTCTTCAACTAAATCCTCCCCCCACCACCTCATCTTAGCTTCCTCAGAGCGGGACAGAGGAGGTAAACACCAGCATGGACTCTCAGAATGCACCTTTACCTCTCCACCTGTCCTACAAGCGTTCATTTGCACAAACCAGTTGTGGTCAGTGGAGTTAATATTCCTGTGATTTTTGAGGCCTTCTTGGGCCTCGAGAAGAGAGCGGGCCAAAAAAAGCAAACACCCTCTGTAACTGTGACTCATCCAGAGGGTCGTGGGTCTGTGAGACACATGCTCCTTCCTCGTTTGTTTCTCCTTTTCCAAGGGAAAGTTTGGAATCTCCGATTTAAATCTCACTCCACCATTTTACTCTCCTACTTCTCTGTTTCACCTGCAACTGAAATGAGGGGAAGATCCTTTGTGACCGACACAGAGACGAGAAAAAGGTGCAATGAAAGGAAGTAAAGATTTTTGGGAGGTTTTCTGAATGCCCTCCGGTTGACTCTGCAAGTCCAGACAGAACGCTGTTCTCCGGGAACACTGGGTGCACCGACCCCTTCCTCTTCCTCCTCCAGCTTCCCTGCGGGGGTTTGATGCAGGGTGAAACAGAGGATCGCATACCTACACTCCAACAAAGACATTGATGACTGTCTGGGAACTATGTGGTTTTGACCCACCAGATCCGCTCCGATCCAAAGATCCCAAACCTAACATGCCTTATGGGAGCAGCGGAGTATCTCTGGGCGGCAGTGGAAGGGCTTACAGAACCATGAAACATTGATTTAATTTAATGTCAAACTGTTAATCCAACTAAATTATTACACTAATCGAAATGGGTTGTTTGTGTCTTTTACTTCATGTTTTTTCCTTTAAATCACCACTTTTTTTAATCTCCCAGCCATTTGAATCTCCTTCTTCATAGAAATCACATCTAAAACTAAAGCTGTGCTATATGGAGGGGGAGAAAACATTTATAACCAGGGTAAATATTGATTATTGGGGATAATAGCAATATAAATATCCATACAGACCCTCCTTTATGTATTTTATTCAACTTTAGAGGTATTATGGAGGATTTTCTCAAATTTATAACCCGCCTTCTCCACTTAGAAAAAAAAATGCATGTGTGAGAGCGTGCACGAGCCCATTTCTCCTCGTGCACGCTCTTGCTGTTGCTGTTCTCATTGCTTATACAAGCTTACTGTGCTCGAACATCCACCCTAACCTCTAAATATCTCAATCACTATATAGAGCGGGCACTATATGGTGCACTTTATAGTGAACTCTGTTAACTGACCTTTTGGACAGATGATCACTTCCCCGTGTGTCCACTGCGCGGTGCCTGCACCATCTTTATTAGTCGCCACTGTCAGGTAGCGACAGCCCATGGCGACCGCAGACCACTGTGACAACAAATCCCATAATGCTTTGCGGGGAGAGCCCTCCGCGTGAAGCATTCTGGGATATATCTGCCTCTTCTGAGGCCTTTCTTTTCTTCTCATACACTTCGCTGACACCTTTCTCATCAGACCCTCGGCCGTATGAGGTCGGAGAAAGGTGAGCTTCAATGACTGAAACCGTGGCTCACCACAGATATTCACCTGAAAGTGCGCATAAAAAAGATAGCTGACAGGACGAGCATGTAGGACGGCCTTACGTAACCTTTTCCCCGGATTGTTTGCCGTTTGGTGGGCCCCTTTTTTTGGTTGTTCTAGGTTGAATTAAGGGTTACCCTTTTTTCCTTTTTATTTTGTTTTTTTTGGCCCAAACCCTTGAAGGAAATTGTTTTGGCTTGGTTGCGGTTTTTGTTCTTTTTGCCTTCGTTTTACCGGTTTCTTGAATTTTGCGGTTGTTTTTTTTTTTTTCCGTTTTTTTTTTATTTTTTTTTGTTTGTTTTAGGTCAATATCTGAAATAGATATTGCTTCTACCTCCATTTACATGATCAAAATGACACAATAAAACCAGAGTTTCTGTTTATTAAAAAAGAAGCAACAAAAAATAGGTGTGTATTACTGAAGGAGATTAACCATAAAAGACTCGGGGGCAAAATGCGAAATCATGCCACATTTTGTGAGGTTTTAATGTGACTTGATGTTGAAAAGCTGGAGTTGATGGGAATTCTCCCTAGTTAAACAATAGCAGTGAGACGAGGCATAGCGACCATTTCAAAGTGTTTCAGAGGTTCTATCCTCATCCTGTCTCCTTACGTGGCTTTCATAAGCAGAGTAATATAGTTTTTATATTTTAACCCTTTATACTTCTAGAAGGTAAGTTTTTATGATCTTAATAAAAGGCAAACTGGGACCTTTAAAGGTTTCCCCTCATCCTCATTTTTTTTTATTTTTACGATTTATCCTCTGAGTTAATTTCTGTTTTTCTTCCATTGGGGCCCGGAGCTGGTGTGTACCGCCAGCAAAAACATTCAGTCGAGGGCCGATAGTATTGATTTCAGAAAGTCTTTGTCCTTTCAGAGGCATAAAGTCTGTTAGGCACAGAACCGACAAGTTTCTGGGAAACTAACACACCTTAAAAACAAAGAGTTTATTTAAAGTGTCAAAAGACTATTCTGCAGCAGTGCTGTGCATCAGAGATTATCACCTAACTATCAGAATGTTTTATTCTGTTTATGCAGATCCATTTAAAGCTAACCTGATCCAAAAACCGGAGATTGAATATTGATAGCATTGATTAAACATTCAGCTTTCATTGTAAAAATAATCAACCAAATTACATTTATTAACCTCCATCAGATCTAACAGATACACAACACAAAGCAGCGCTTCAAAGGAGGATACTAGCTCTAAATGAATTCTGATTAATCCCTTTTAACCCCAGAAAATCTGATCTTAAAGTTAGAAAATACATTTTTTCTGCCCCCCCAACACACTTTTATAAATTATTGTTTATCCAATTTATATTTTCACTTCGGTGTCAGGAAAAAAAAGATTAATTCCTGTTTTAACTCATTCTCAATTTTTGGGTCGATGCTAAAATTTGTTTTGCCACTGATTTTTTTTAATAGAGACAATTTAACTGCAAAGCAGTCTGCATTCATGAAGTTAAATCAAAATACTAGACTTCTTATACAGCTCTTATTTGATTATATCCCAACAGAGAAAAAAACATGTTGGAGTCCTGTTACTATGATACCCATCGCACCAATTCCAACTTCTGCTCGACTTGGACTGAATCTGTGTTTGGGTAGTAATGTAAAGAAATCTCACAATATTACATTTGTAAAGCAGGTTTAGTCGCCACAGTTTCTCCTCCAACTTCAAACATGGTAGCTTTCTGACTTCTGCATTACTGCCCATCCTGATTTGATCTTTCTTTGTTGTCCGTCGACCGCTTTTGCTGTAACCACTTTTAATCATAAGCACAAAAAAAAACTTTTCAACATTTCTTTCAGATCATGTTTGTTTTGTTTCTCTTCCTCTAAGGGTTGAGCTCTGATGTAGGCCAGACTGATGTGGCATCTTGAAACATTTACCTCCAGATCTTCTGCAGCAGCTGCGCCGCTCTGCAAACTGAGGAAACATGTTGCTTTAAGAGGCTTTTAAATGTGACAAACCCTGTTCTTTAGCTTTAATCCACATTTGCTCTCTCTTTGCTGGTGCTTGAAGAGATTTTTAAGGGGACACCCAGGTGGTGCCTTTCCAGAAATGTGAAATATATTATAAAACCAGGTTTTTGCAACATAAGAAAAACAAGACGATTAATTATTTTTTTTACAGGGTAAGATAACTGTCAGTTTGTAAATGTTATGTAGTAAAGACATTTAAGATTTTTTATTTGTTCCTTGTTCCCAACTTACTGTGTGAGAGAATCACACACTGGAAAGAATCTAAATCTAGATAAGTTATTATTTCTTAAAATAAGTGCACTTGTTCTTGAATTGAGAAGGTAAAAGACAGATTTTGTCAATGGAACAAGACAATTTACATTTAAAATAAGAAAAAGCAATTGCATTGTCTTATTTAAAGTGCATTTTATCTAAATAACTTATTTTAAGAGTAAAAATACTCATTCCATTAGGTAAATTATCTCATTTACCTACTCAAAATAAGGGTAAATACACTTAATTTTTGAAATTCTTTTATTTTTAAATCGTTTTTTCCAGTGAAAATTTCCCCCCAAAAATGTGCAACCCTGGATGCAGCTGTAACATTCCTGACCAGTTGGTTGCGATAATGCACCTGAAAGTTGTTTGCTAACCACCTTTAATTGTGAGAAAGATAAAACACAGGCTCAATCCGAGTACGTCAAATTAATGCTCCTACCTCCTGTTCCTAGATCGTATTCCTTAACGTTTCAAGAGGTCCAAAGTAAGAACACTATCCAGGGTAGGAAAGGAGCTCAGGATTGCTGTG